GAAACATCCTTTGAAATTACCTCCGCCACATTTGTATAAATTCGCTGAACAAGATAGTTCAGAAAATATTGTTTTGGAAGCTAGAGAAAATGGTGGGGTGCCATTAATTAAAGGTGCAATATTGGTCAAATTGGTAGAAAGATTAACTTACCACATATATGCTGATCCTGCTTTTGTACGTACATTCCTTACTACTTATAGGTAAATATTCCTCATTTATTTCTTCTATTTGATTTCATAGACATTTATTATTTTATTTTACACGTATCAATATTTACAGGAGTTTTTGCTCACCTCAAGAATTATTGACATTATTAATAGAAAGATTTGATATACCAGATCCTTCATTAGTTTATGGTGATGATGAAAAACCTTCTGGCTGTAAGACCACAGCTAGAGAAGATTGGAAAAGATATAGGAAAGAATTTTGTCAACCTGTACAATTTAGGGTTTTAAATGTTTTAAGGCATTGGGTGAGTAAATAAAATATATGTAAATATCATTTCTTTTAAATGTATACGTATATATAATATTAGTTACATTAATATTTTATAGGTGGATCATCATTTTTATGATTTCGAACGTGATAGGAATCTTCTGGAAAGATTGCAAACGTTTTTAGATACTGTAAGTGGTAAATCAATGAGAAAATGGGTTGATTCGGTTATAAAAATTGTACAAAGAAAATGTGAGCCGTCTGAACAACGGCCAATAACCTTTAGTTTTGAACGATCTCCTCCACCTATTGAGTGGCATCTAAAAGTTCCTGAAGAGGAATGGGGTATACTTACAGTAAGCATCAACATAATTAAATGTAATGCGTGTATCCACATTATTTTTTTTTTGTCTATAGATACAGTTAAATAACAAATACTTTGATTTCAGTTACACCCCATTGAATTAGCAAGGCAGTTGACACTTTTAGAATTTGAATTGTATAGAACTGTAAAACCTTCTGAGTTAGTAGGATCAGTATGGACTAAAAAGGATAAAGAAAAGACATCACCAAACTTATTGAAAATGATCAAACATACGACAAATGTAAGAGATGCTTAATACATATAATTTTGCAAAATTTTGCAAAACAATATATTGTATGTTCTGTTACTTCATAGTTTACTAGATGGCTTGATAAAACGATAGTAGAGGCAGAAAATCTTGAAGAAAGAGTAGCAATTGTTTCACGAGCAATCGAAGTTATGATGGTGTTGCAAGATCTTAATAATTTTAATGGTGTATTAGCCATTGTTAGTGCTATGGGATCTGCATCTGTATTTAGGTTAAAATTTACTTTTCAAGTAAGTTTAAATTATTAAATATATGTAATTTTTCATGTTTGCTTTTTGTACTATACCGAATATTTTATATATATTTTTTTTTTTTAGCAAATACCTGCGAGATTAGAAAAAGCACTTGAAGAGGCACGAGAATTAAATAACGACCATTTTAAAAAGTATCAAGAAAAATTAAGATCGATAAACCCTCCTTGTGTACCCTTTTTTGGTAAGGAAATATATCTGACATTAATTGATTTTATATAATTTTTATAAACTTCTTACTAATTAAATATTTTTATATATAGGTATGTATTTGACTAATATTTTACATATTGAAGAAGGAAATCCCGATTATCTTCCGGGAAGTCCAGAATTAATAAATTTTAGTAAACGACGGAAAGTCGCGGAAATAACTGGAGAAATTCAGCAATACCAAAATCAACCATATTGTCTTTCGGTAGAACCTAAAATACGACAGTTCATTGAGAACTTATGCCCATTCGATCCAAATATGAAAGATGCAGATATTAGTAATTACTTATTTAATAAAAGCTTAGAAGTAGAACCCAGAGGATGCAGACAACCACCCAGAGTTGTAAGTTCGTTTATATCAAATATATTTTTATAACGAATACATTTTTCAATGTAAAAATCAATGAATTATATTTTTATGTATTTAATATTAGCCTCGCAAATGGCCGGATTTAAATTTGAAATCACCGGGTATTAAAGCAAGAAGTTTGAGTGGTAAATTACCTGCTCCTCTTCAAGCAGCATCAAGTGTAAGATTACACGATCCACTACCTGAGGTACCACCACCTCCACCACCAGAATTACCCGAGACACCACCACATACATCACAGGTTGCAATTCCACATACAGGGGACCACAGCGTGTTTGCGCCTGTATTATTAGGAGGTTTGTATTTAAAATAAAATAAATTAATTTATTATATGGATTGTATGTAGCTTTTTATACAGGTATAGGTCAACCTCCAGGTTCACCAGGTCCACTTAGTATGTCAGGACTCTCAGTCAATTCGCCGAGTAGTAGTCCACAAATGGGATCACCAGGGCATCTTCCAACGACGCATCATCAATCGCAAATTACTCACTTTGGATTTAATTCTGGTACTATCGGCGTTATGGGAGCTTTGACAGGATTGTCATCGTCTAGTGGAAGTCCAGGTGCTATAATGCCTCCGCCTCCTTCTCCTAGCCATATGCCTCTTAATCAACCACCACCACCCTTGCCACCTAGATCTCACAGAAGGCGGGAAAGCTCAATAAGTGAATCACCTCAGCAGGTAATTATAAGAATTTTTTTTTTAAATCAATTTTTTGTATATATTATTTATTTATAAATTATAATAACAGGCACGACAAGCACCAAATGCACCTATACTTCCTCCAAGAGATGGCACTTCACCACCACCATTACCACCAAGAAGAGACTTGCCTTTAACGACATTGCCACCAAGACTTCCAACTACGTTGAATCCTAGCACTTCGGCGTTATTAACTAGGCGAAATTCAACATTAGAAAATACATGTTCGTCAAACGCTCACCCACGTCGACATATGTCTTTTAATGGGCCTAGTCCTACAAAGCTTCCCCCTACACAACCTAATGGTAATAATGACTTATAAATTCCCAAATTATTTTATTTAGATGCATGAAAATTTCTTAATAGCAATTGATTTTTACGATGTATGGATTTTTAGGGTCTGTGACTCCAAGACTACCACCAAAACCTTTACCAGGACGTCCACCAACAACCATGTTTAATTTCAATGCTCCTCCTGGACCTAGTTAAGTGTTACTCTTTCTTATCTTCTTCCTTAATAAAAGAAAAACAAACATTTTCGGAAATCGATTTCTAGTCCACTCAGAAAGCTAGGTAAAGCCAAAGGTTTTACTAGCTCAGATCGACTGACTGTAAATAACATTGCTTCGAAACTTGTATGTCATTTTCTATTGAATGGGTGTATATCGAGTATAGTATTAATACATTTATCACGATACCCTTAACATTCAATAATATGTACGTGGTAAATGAATTATAAAGTGCAGAAGACTTAGTAAATATCTTTGCAAGAGATGGCTCTTACGTGATGAGATGCTAGTTACATTCCTTACAGCAATTCATCTTTTAATGGTGTCTATGACACCATATTCATTCAAAGTTTATTTTTTGAGATAATACAGACTGTTGTGACTTGTACAATATATTTTTAGATATTTTTTTAATAAGCAGGTACACATAATCAATAGATGTAAGGTTGTATATTCCATCATGAAAGGATACTTTTATTAATATAATATTTCTTAACACAAGTGAAACTTCTAAGCCTCTCGTATTAAAAACTTATGCATAACATTGTGCACTATTATCAAAGAACAAATTTGTCAGATCGATAGTGGTCATTCCTAAATTTTTTTTAATTATTCATTAAGACATCATAGATTTTCAAATACTTTTAACAAAAAAAACAATGATTTTAAACTTGGACGCAAATATAAACGCATCGGTTCTTTCTATTTCTTCATCGATCTTCGTGAAATTATATTTAATCCTTATGCGCATATGAATGAAAATCTTTCTTTTAATTTGAGGAATGCAAGATACATTTCATCGCAGTTGCCAGTTCTTTAAAAATTCTATTTCATATCTCAGAAATGTGTTTATCTTCATTATAATTTAGTCATGCTACGTGTATTACGATCTTACTGAATGGACTATATTCGATTTCGGTTGCACAATAATTTCTTTTTTTCTTCTAATTCCTCTCTATCCCTCAACACAACTGTGATACACTTAAACGTGGGTATGTACGTTATGTAACTAGGCATTTAGGTTTTAAAGAATCCGATGCAAAAAATGTGCAGTATCGAATGAATCATAGGCCAATATACATATATATAATGATATACGTATAAAATGAATCAATAGTAAAGATGAGTACATAATATGTACATGTATAATATTATAAATATATTCTATAATAGTTATTGTGTAATAATGTCGACTATAAGATGGAAAAATGAAATATTGAAATTATATAAAATAAAGATTATATTGTGTAGCATTTCGCATATATTTTATCCTTATTATTTGTTCATTAAATAAATATACACATGTAATATATGTAATATTTATTATAGATAAGCTATTTGTTAAGAATATTTAACATTCCTGGTTTTATGATGACTTAAACCGATATTAAATAATAATGCCTTTATTTAAATATTGGGTAACTAAAAAAATACATGGTAATTGTTAAATAATATTAATTCGATATCTCAGTACACGTAAATCTCGTAATAATTTTAAATAAATAAATGATACATTCACATTGAAATTATCGTTGCAATCATAATTTCGCGCGCAAAATCCAGATCTTATTTCACTTCCGGTTTAAACTTTAACATCGTTTATATGTTGAATTAACGAATGTTTATCAAACAATATGACACGATTATAATATCAAATGTGTATTTTATTTAATTTAATGTTAAATTTATTGTTATTATTTATTAGTCAATCTATTATTTATAATTTCATAGTTTGTGTCCAATTAAAATCACTGATCTTATTACTATGCAATACCGTAATCCAATCACACCATAAACATCATCACACAATAAAATAAGAAAAAAGCAATACAAACATCTAAAACTTAAATTCCCCTACATGGAATCTCCAATGGATATAGATAGGACGTTTATATGTTTCCAGTTGCAGTGTACCTACACTGCAATATGCTTACATTAGGCGCTACAAACTTTTGTAGCAAATGCGCGAGTTCTTTGCCATTTGTTAAATGTTATTTTTCGCGTAACGTCAATGAAAAAGAATTATTTACAATATGTAGTGTGTATGCGTTTAAATATCTCTGTAATGAAATTATTACCTTATATTTATACACAGGTATACACCCTTTTCTTAAATTCTTTTTATGCAACATTAACTGCTGTCAGATTAAAATATTTTAAAAATAACGTTTGATTTTCTTCATACAATATTTTTAATGATTTTATTATTTAAAACAATCATTTTTTTACTTTTATTAAAATATGCAATTTATTATTAATATGCACTCTCTTAGCGAAGCAGCTATGAATACAAATTTAAGTTCTACGGATGGTGGCGGTGATAAACGTTTGCCTGAGAATACCGTGCAAACTTTAGCGCAAAACTTAACTACAATGCAAAATATACAAAGCATACAGAATGTACAAAGTGTAGTTCAAAGTAATATACAAAGTATACAGCCTATGCAAACTATTGTTGGAACAGTTGGGACTCCTACTAGCCTTGTTGGTAAATCTGTATCATTGGACATTAATCCTAAATTATCTCTGATGAAGCCTGTTATTCCATCTGGTGCAACGTCCAATGCGGAAACAAATAAGATCACAACGACGGTAAATTTGTTCATTCATATTTAAATGTCTATTAATCGAGTTAAGTAAATGGTTACATTGACATTTATGTTTATTTTACAGCTTTGTTCAGTGGGTTCTACGGTAAGAATTATATCGCCAAGTATGTTGAATGCAGTAGAACGTCAAAATCAACAACAAGCTCAACAGTTAACTCAACAGAGCCAACAAATTACTAGTATGCCAGCAACGTATCATGTACCTAGAGGACCAGCAGCAGTTGCAAATATTGCTGCTCCAAGATCAACAGTTGCTACACCTATTGTTAGAGCTAACACTGGTCAAGCTGTACCCACTACAAGAGCAGGGTATGTGTCTATTTTTAAATTTCATGTTTATGTATGTACTAACTTTCAATAGTTATTAATGATATTTTATAAAATATGATATATTTTTATTCCTTAGAATAAGTACAACAGTATCAAATCCTCAATGGCAACCTAAAGCAACTTCGGTTGTATATGCACAACCACAACGACACCCAACACCTCCTGTTAGTAGAGTATCTACAAGACCTCCATCTGCTGTTTACAGTGGACAACAACCTAGATTAATAACTCAAACCAATCAAGGAAGATCTGTACAGGCCACTATGGTTACTGGAGTTCCTGGTACTCCGTCCAGATTAATAGCACCCATTCTACAAACAAGTAATAGTATTACACGACTTCCAGTTGCACAAAACAGACCTCCAGCTACTCAAGTAGCAAATGTTTCGCAAACATCACAAACTGGAAGAGCATCGACGCAAGCTATTCAAGTAAACTTTTTAAGTGAAATTTTTCATAATAATATCTGACTTTAAACAATAATTATAATTAAATAAAAATATTGATTATTTTAGCCTAATCAGACAAGCAGATCTCTCAGTACAACAGGTACAGTAAACCGTATAGCTGTATCTGCACCAGTAGTAGGAACAACAAGCAGAATAGGTGGAACAGCTTCTGTTAGTGTCCAACCAACATTGAGCCGACAGTTATCCATTAATACAACAGCTGGTCCATCAGCTGGTACTGTCAGTCGTATCGTAATCCCACAGCAACAGGTAAAATTTTAATAGAATTTTATTGTTAAATAAAATAAAATAAAATAAAAATGGAATATATATTTTTATAGGTGCAACAGCAGCAGGGAACAGCGCGTGTTGTTCAAACAGTAACTCCTTTATCAAGTCTTAATGCAGTTTCACGTGTTATTACAACAACAGCAAATACATCCAATGTCACAAGATTACCACAAACTACAACTACTGTTACAAGAATAACTGGAATGTCTTTGCATCCATTACCTTTGGCTCCAGCAAGAACTGCATCAACGCCAGTAAAAACTGCACAAGCACAAAATATTGGGCAAGCGGTACAGATAAAACAACCTGTTCAACAATCAGGACTTCGTTACTCTTCAACAAATACTACCAATTCAACTTCTAATCCTCCTCAGTCAGTTCAAGGTCAATACTTGCATCCACCTCATACTACTACTACCTATTATTCTTTGGAGACTGGTGGTTAGTGTTACGAAATATTACTAGTTTTATTAAATAATAGCCTACAATTGCACTTTGTTTAATGATAAAATAATTTTAAAATATTTCTTTTTAATTACACATAGGTACATACTCTCAGTATCGACAGGCTTCGGTACAACCTGTAAGATTACTTGTTGAGCCAGGATATGATGAACCACACAGTAAACCTAATGCATCTCCAAGACCAAGCATACTTAGGAAAAGAGATCATGATACTTCTCCTATTAAGGGTATTTTTATAAGAATATTGAACTTTATTGAGCATTAATAATAAATTTTATACCCGATTATATTATATTATACCTTATAAATATTTTTATATTTTTTATTTGTACAGATAATTTTTTATTTACTTAAATCATCTATAATAACTTTTTAATTCTCAGGTGCAGCTAAAAATCTAGTTCCCGTTCTTACTTCCTTACCATCAGTACCATCAACATCCAGTCCTCCTGGTTCTCCAAGGGATCAAGATGGTGGTGGTTGTCAAAGTTCAGGATCAACTACTGTTTCAGCTACTTCATCTCCTGGTCTTGATGAAGACCCGGAACAATCAAGGATAACAATTAATCCAACAATAGAAATGTCACCAAGGAAGAAACCTCGTAAACAACAATTAACAGGTGTTGAATTAACAGAGCCTAGATGTACGGAAGAAGAAATGCAATTTATTACGGAGGAAAAAGTAAAGAAAGAAATAAAAGACGATTTGAAAGACAAAACAACTGACAAAAGACATATGTCTAATGTTCAACGAGATATGAAATCTCCTCCTATACACCTAATACCTATTACTGGACGAATACGACCACCAAGCTTATTAGGTTTGCAAATAAAGCATAAATTATCAAGTTCCATAATAATCGATCTAATTATCAAATAATGTAGCTGTAATGTTAATGATTTATATTAAAGGTTCTTCTTGGACAAATAGATGGAGTGGTAGACTTCATCATTACAGGAGACCTAGTGAGGTACGACCGCGTGAAGAAAGGAGACCCTCAGTAGCAGAATTGGCACAGCAGAAACATGTTCTACAAAAATTAAATGGTTGGAAAGTGTATCATATTACAGCACAAATGGATGACATTGCTGAGCTTGAAAATCAGGTAAATGTTTTATTTAACTCTGGATTCGATATATTATATAATTACAATTAAAAATTACTTCTTCTCTATTTACTTAAATTCCTATCATCTTTATATTTAGGTATATGAAAAATTAAAAACGACATTGACATTACTTGAGTCTCAACAGACTATTAAAAGTAAGCAAGATGATGGACTTGAACGTATAAACGAACTCATTAAAGGAAATATGCAACGTAGTAGTTTTATCAGCGATGGAATGAACGAAGCACGCGCGCAATTAATTTCTATTTTTCAACACAAAGAACCTATCACGGATATTTTACAGCGTTGTGGAAATAAGCGTGCTCAAAAAAAGAGAGATAAATGAGCTATTAATGTTGATCAAATTAGGAAAAAAGGAGCACTTTAAGAAACCTCTGTACACATAAGGTTCGAAAGGGAGTTATTTTTATCTGTGTCACAGAATCTACATTATAGAAGTAAAATAATAAATGGTTTTATAAGTCTAATTGACATAATTGTCGCTAATATGTTTATAATTTTATTATAAAAAAAAATATCTCATGTTTTTATTTTAATACAGTACTTCTTAATCCTCCAACTTGCTTAAAAATTTCGTCTATATTTTATATTCTCACTCCAATGAATTAACACTAACGAAATAGACAACTTATAAAAACAGGAAAAATATGGGCTTTATGTATGTGATATTGAAAGAAACAAGTAAACTTTTTGTTATATGATAAAAAGAAAAAAAGGGATTAAAAACTGGAGTTATGAAAATAAAAAATAAAAATACGCCCGCGCTAATAAAAAATTAATGTACGCGTGCGCATGAAAAAACGCGCGCGAAATTTTCATATGTATTTTTCTCTATGGCAACTAGAAATTGTCAATTTTGGTTCGTATCCATAACAGTAATAGTCCTTATTACCATACATTTATACTGCATTTTAGGGCATCGTGTGTATTGAAAGAAAGTAGTGAAAAACCCCGGAAAAATAAAAATTAAAAATGTGGTGGGGATATAGTGCTCCATTAGACTTACAATGTGAAATTGAGGAAAAGGATGATACATCTAAAAAATCTCTTGAGGTATTGATCATAGGTGCTTCCGATGCAAGACATATTGTAAAGACATTAGCGTCCTCTTATAAACACTCTGATCGTACTATAATTTATCATATAATTGAACCAACGATGGAACAAATTGCTAGATCAATACTTTTATTAAGCACTTGTTTGGATAAAGACTTAGGTATGTATATGTCCAATCTTAGAAGTATCTCATAATAGCAATTATGAAAATATTATGTGAAAGATTGTGTGAATATACTTAAGGACTCCAAGAAGCAACTCGATATTACTTGGAAATAATGGGAAATACGCTTTTAAGACCTGCTACCGCTAAATATTTGGCAAAACATTCGAAATTATTAGCAGATACTGTAACTCAAACCATTGATTGTCCTTGGCTAAATCTGGAAAAGCTTAAACATAAGGACAGAGATCAGTTAGAATGGATATTTAAGTGAGTCCTTTACTTTTTGAGCTTTAAAGATACTATGATATTCATCGTTATATTAAACCTATCTGATGAAAGATTTTGGGAACGTGCTACGCGTGAAGGTGTTCCAATTGTGGATTATTGGGACAGAAGAATTAGAAAGTCATTAAAAACACGATACGACTACAGAGATGGAGTTTTTGATTGGGACTATCACATGATATTAAAACCAAGAGGTCATATGAATTTAACCATACATGAATATAGGTACGTCTGACCAGAACAATTACTTTCATGTAAAATATATCCGATAGATAGATAAATAAATAAATAAATAAATAAATAAATAAATAAATATTATGATGCGAATCAAAGAATAAGTACATGCAATTATATTTGACTTTATCTGTGAATCAGATTTTGGAGAAATAATGGAATAGCGTTCACTTGGATAGAGGGTGAACCTGCTAGAAGTAATCCGACACTTTTAAATAATATTGTTCCTCTTGGAGAAGGATTTTTGCATTATGCTTATTTAGGGGATATAACTAATGGACCCTTTTTTACATGGGCTTTAAATGAAGATAAAGAAAATAATGTGTAAGATATAATTATCAAATCTATTTTTAATTGATTTCCATTCTGATAATACAAATTTTCATTGCATAGAAAGCTCAGAGCGACTGATATAGCGGAAAGGGAGATAATGCGTGTTATTCATGAAATTAGAACGAAGGAACCTTTTTGCGAAGAACTCGTTGCTGCACATAGAGATCAGTCTATCTTAAACGGTATAATAATAACAGAAATGCCAAGTTCTGATATAGAATATGAATCATGGGTTAAATGTGATAAGTACAAAAAACAAAGCGTTCCTTGGATATCTATTCCTAATACAAAGGTATAAAATACAAGAAAGGATGACTATTTTAAATGCTAAAAGTAAACATCTGAAACGATGTTACTTTCAGGTTTTATTTCACCCATTGTCAACATTGGAATTATTTAAAAATAGAACAGAGTATAAAGAGAAGTTTGATGCAATTTGGGTAGCACATAATATGACTAAACAATTACCAAATGTAGTACCATCGTTGAAAAAAAAAGGACATATATTAATCGAATTACGTAAATACCTAAGTGAATTACGTAAAGAGGACTTGGATAGTTTTACCCAAGAATTAAAGAATATTACGCAAGGATGTGGGCTGAGAGAATTAAAAAAGTTTAATTCCGAAAGTCATACTACAGCAACATTTTGCAATAATTAATAATAGTTGTAATAAAATATTTCCTAACCTAAATCATAAGTTACATAAAAAAAAAAATGAATATAACGATTAGTCTAAACATATCTCTACTTTTTTTTTTTTTTTTTTTTTATTCACAGTAATAATAAAACATTTATTAGGTACATTTTATATATGTACATATGTTTATTTTAATAAAACTTAATTTTATTTATTTATTTAAAGTACGTAAACGTGAAATAAATAATACGTACGATAAATTTCAAAATCTGAAAAAAAAAGTACTGCTAATAATTTAATTAATGAACGCATAAAATGTTTATTTAAAATCACAACAATGAAACCAACCAAGAAAAGGAGAAATTAAAATGTATAAAGTATTATGATAGTAAACTTGATTCGTTTAAAAAATGTAGTAACCAATAACCTATCAGAATCGTTGCATAGTATTTACTTTAGACATGGCCGTCCAATAGAAAGACCATACTAATACCAACGTTTCATTTTCATGGAAGTGTAGGATGCAAATAGCATAGCGTCAAGTAAATGAACAAACACGTTTATGTGGATCAACCGAAATCGCGGGAAACGCGTTCTGTTCCATTAGTCCCGTAATGATAATTTTTATTTTCTTAATATTAACAATAAACATTCTGTAGAAATTCGTTTTGTGGAGTTCATAAAGCTTCAAGTGCAATACATATTGATACTTCAACAACGGATGGAGAAATCTAAAAGAATCGTGAAAAATAACATAATCCTTGAAAATCGGCCATTGCGACTATTTTCAGCGGTAATAGAAAATTGTTTTCGATTTCTAAGCTCTTTAGAAAGTATTCTTAGTATTATAACCCATACTGACAGTTGAGGAATTTTATAAACTAGCATCATTTGATCATAGAACAAAGTTATATAGCTTAAAATGATAATTTAACGATTAAGCTATGAGCTCTTTCAATACACGGAATAACAAGGTGGCCGAAGTAGTTAACGATGCAGGGCAAAGCATTCGCAACGAGAAAATAGAAAATATCAACGATGCTCCTGATTGTGTGGACAATGGTGGAGAAAAGTCTGATCTAATAGATAGTGCTTATTTTCCTGGTAAAAGTCGTTATGGCAGAACAATAAAGCCTAAATCTCCTCGGGATGACATATCTGAATCACCTAAGGTATACGAGTTTTCGTATTTTGGCTAAAGGTCATTTTGTATCTTATATGCGCACGATCTTCTTTCATTTTTTACATATAACCTTCTTTACGATCTTCGGATAGTTCAAATATTTCATTATCTTGTATAATTATCTTATTCTATAGAATTACAAAATGTCCAGAACACGCAAATCTCAAAACTCTAGCGAAAATAGTAATGAAAATGTAGATGAAAGTAACATTGTCAATGATGGAGATGAAGCAAGCGATTCGTTTAGTTCTACCAATTCTATGGAAGAAATATTATCTCCTAAATTTGATAATACTCCTGCGCAATGCATTTGGAGTTTAGGACAATTAGCATGGGCCCGCGTTGGAAATTTTCCATTTTGGCCATGTGTTGTAACGTTAGATCCAACTACATTAATTTTTTACAAATATAAAGGTAAACATTGTTTTAAATATATTATACATTTTTAAATAATAATACATTACATTTATTTATAGAATGAATAAGTCTATTAAATCTAAAAAGCATGTTTAAATGACTTTTTTAATCAGCTACTGGCAGATCGCAATTGCTAATGATACACGTTCAGTATTTTGGAGATAAAGGACGTCATAGTTGGGTTTCATCGAATTATATGATCCATTTCACTAATCTTGATGACTATATAAAGCTATCTGAATCATTAACCGCAGAAATTAAAAGAAAGGATCCTAAATATGCAGCAGGATTTGTTATTAAGGCAGGATTAAAGTCTAAATGGGATACAGCAGTTGAAGAAGCTACGGAAGTTAAATCGATGACTGATGAAGAAAGAGCCAATATATTTAAACCGGTAGTTAAAAGTACAAGACAAAGAATGCAAAAAACACTCGATTTTTATGAAAAGGATAAGTCTAGTAAAAGAAAATTAACGACTGACTTAAGTGGACCAGATGCTAAACGTTCTAAGCAGGAAAATGTAAGTTAAATAAATAAATAATTAAAGTATGATAAAATATTATTATAATTATACTTGTATACAAATATATGTAAGACTAAATATTTTTTTTTGCTTCTAGATTGATGTTTCAGATAAGTTACAATATAAATTAGAATCGCCTAAATTAAGATATTTACGACATAATGAAAATGGGAAAACAAATTTGAGATTAAATCTTGAAAGTCCTTCTCGAATGTCAACTAAATCTAATGAATCCAATGATTCATCTACAACACAAAAAAGTGATTTTAAAAGTGATGAACATCCTGAAGGTGTTTTCGAAGTTTATTACGAAAGAAATAGAGATATGTTAGAAGATGAACATCCTGATTTGTCGGAAGAAGAAATTCGAAAATATTTAAAAAAAACTTGGAACGATATGAACTCTTCTTTTCGCAGAAAATATCGTTTATATGTCAAATCTGAAGGTAATCAATCCAAAGATGATGTACCAGAAGAGTCTGAAGAAGACACGTCAACAGATGCAGAAAGTATTATTACAAAAGAAGCGAAAAAAGTCAAATCAAAAATCGAAAAAGAAGAAACATATTCAGTAGAAACAAAAAAGACAAGACCATATAATCTTTTTAAAGGCATGAAACAAGAAAAGGTTTGTCAAATATGTGAAAAAACAGGAAAGTTAACAAGATGTAGGGGACCCTGTTATTCGTACTTTCATTTGTCATGCGTCAAACCTGGAGAATCTAGTCCAGAACATTCTATTGATGAAAGTATGTACAGTGATAAATTATTCGAAGATTTGAGAGAAATTAAAAGGAGCAATACGGATGACGAAGAAAATAGCGGTATATAATTAATTGTATACTTAATATTATATCTCCTTAATTAAATTAAATTGTGATTCTAATACAATATTCTTTCTTTAGATAAAGCAGAAGAACAAGAAGATGAGAGCTTCAAATGTATTGATTGTTTGTCCGGTGTAGCTCCAGCGTGCTTTGTATGTAATGAAAGGGAAGGAGATAGAATAAGATGTTCAGTTATGGCATGTGGCAAACATTACCATTCATCTTGCTTAAGATCTTGGCCTCAAGTATGGATAAATATAAATAGCCTTTGTATTATAATTATGTTTTTTCTATAATAGATATTAAAAATGTGATATTATTTTTCAGTCTCGCTGGCAAGGAGGTCGTTTAAATTGTCCATATCATATATGTCATACATGTAGTTCGGATAATCCTCAAGATAGTCATTCTCGTGCACCTAATGAAAAAATAGCACGATGCGTAAGATGTCCATCATCTTATCATGCTTCTATATCATGTTTACCTGCTGGATCAGTTATATTAACAGGAAGCCAAATTGTCTGTCCTAAGCATTACAAAGCTCCTCATCCTCCATTGAATGCAGCATGGTGTTTTCTTTGTACTCGTGGTGGAAGTCTTATTTGTTGCGACACATGTCCAACTTCATTTCATCTGGAATGTCTTGGTAAATATATTTTTAATCTAAACAAAAAAAGAATATTTATTAATATTTTATTATAATATTTTTCTTTGATTATATATAACAGGTATAAATGCACCGGATGGTGCGTTTATATGTGAAGATTGTGAAACTGGAAGACTTCCCCTTTACGGAGAAGTAGTATGGGTCAAGCTTGGTAATTATCGCTGGTGGCCCTCACGTATATGTTATCCACATGAAATACCTGAAAATGTAGGTTCTATACCACATAGTCCGGGCAAATTTTGTGTCATGTTTTTAGGTTCTAATAATTATTATTGGGTCCACAGGTAAATATATGATGTGTTTATATCTTTTATAAAGATGTATTTAGAAAAGAAAAAAAATAGGATATATATAATTTTTACATAACATTTACAGAGGGCGTGCTTTCTTATATCAAGAAGGAGATGCAACTATAAAGCCTTCAGTAGGTAAAAAAAATATGAGAAATAATACTTATAGAAAAGCTTTAGAAGCAGCTAGCGAGATTCATCAGCGTTTAAAAATTGAGAGAGCTGCTGCTAAGGATATTGAGGCTAAGGGATTGAAACCTCCACCGTATGTTAAATTAAAGGTACATTATCATTTTAATAATAAACAATTTTATATAATTGCGTTAGGTGAATATTTCTTTTCTCATTAATTAAATATTTTCTTAGGTTAACAAGCCTGTAGGTAATGTGAAACCTGTTGAAGTTGAAAGTATTGTGGCATGTGATTGTGATCCAGAATTAGATGATGCTTGTGCACCTGGAACAGATTGCTTAAATCGCATTTTATTGATAGAATGTAGTCCGGGAGTATGCCCGGCTGGTACCAAATGCAATAATCAAGATTTCGTACGCAGACATTATCCAGCAATGGAACCATTTCATACAGTTGGCCGTGGATGGGGTCTTAGAAGTTTGGAAGCTATTAAGTTTGGCCAATTTGTAATTGAATATGTAGGCGAAATTATAGATGAAGCTGAATACAGACAGAGATTAACTAGAAAAAAAGAATTGAAGAATGAAAATTTTTATTTTTTGACAATAGATAATAATAGAATGATCGATGCAGAACCAAAGGGTAATCTTAGTCGATTTATGAGTAAGTTTATCTTCTTGATAAGAATACATTGTAATTAAAAAATAAATGCATGTATAATTTTTCTAATATTCTATTTTATTTAGATCATTCTTGTTCACCAAATTGTGAAACACAAAAATGGACAGTAAATGGAGATACACGTATTGGTTTATTTGCTTTGCAAGATATAGCACCAGGAGAAGAATTAACTTTTAATTATAACTTAGCTTGCGATGGAGAAACACGTAAAGCATGTTTATGCGGCGCACCAAATTGTAGTGGATTTATAGGTTTAAAGGTACAAAAACCACAAATAACTTCAGTCGCAGTACAACCTAAAAAACCCGAAAAGATAGAAAAAATAAAAAAGCAAAGAAGGTAAATTCATACTTTTTTTTTTTTTTTAATTACCTAATTATACTTACAAATAAGAAAAACATATGTATTATTAATATTTGTACTTATCTTAGATCAAGGAAACGTTTTTGTTGGAATTGTGGACAAGAGATAACGCCTGATAGTGAAATTATTATATGCGACCATAAAACATGCAATAAGAAGTATCATAGCACTTGTGTAAATATCTATAACACGGAAAGTAAATTTAGTTGTCCATGGCATCACTGTGTAGTATGTAATCGAAGAACATCCGCACACTGCTCATATTGTAGCGCTGCTTTTTGTCAAGGTAATATTTTTGCATTTATTGGTAATGACATAGATATAAAAATGTTTGAATTTAAATTAAAAAGAAGTGTATTTCCTATATCAGTTCATTTAGATGGGAATTTAGTTGAGTATGGGGAAAAAGGTGGCTTTGTTTGCACGTTGCATGAAAATATGGAAGTACAGAGATCGTCGGCAGAAGATGAAAAAGATTCTTCCGATAACGAAGCTGAAATTGATAAAGAATATTTATCAAGATCTAGTAGCCCTATAGAAATGGAAACAAAGTTACAACGAGAACCATCACCTCGAGTTTCAATAGTAGAGGTAAGATGATACTCTTGTAGCTTTTATAATCAGTAAAATAATATAATAATCGGTTCACATATTTCACAACTATTAGGTAATATGTTAGATTTGTAAAAGAGTAGTAAAATCTTTTTACTTATTTTGAATATAATTGAAATGAGCTAAAAATGTAATACTTTGATTGTGGTTGAGCATGAGGACAGGCATTCGCATTAAGTTGCACAATAAATAAAAAACATAATGGAATGTTATGTACTTCTAAAAAGATTCCTTTATGTGCTTTAATAAATGCTTTTATTTTTTTAATTGTGAATTCATTTTTATATGTTCATTTATATATATATATATATATACATAAAAAAAAAAAAATATATATCTATATATATATATATATTAATTTTAATGTTACATTTAAGAATAATGCCTGAAACTTATCTTCTTTTGCATCAAAGTAAAGTTCACGAAATTAATTTCTCATAGGATTATCAAAATTTAATCTAACGAAAACAATTTATGTATATTATATATATTATAGATATAAAATAATATGTTACTGTAATCCATTATTTGGAATTTTTTTTAAATCATCTATTGCATTTATGTTATAAGTCAGTAATAATATGTCTTTTATATTAAAGATAATTATTACATCTGTATGATTCATGAAAAAATATTAATATGTTTGAAAATGTAAGTTTTAGACAGGGTATTTTTACAAAAAATACTTATTATTATTATTATCCTATATATATTTAATTTATTTTAATTTTATTTTTCTAAAATTTATTTTTTCAAATTCTTTACATTATTACCCGCATCCTTTACCTTAAATATTGGCAGTAATTAAATTTGATTGAAAAGTGAAAATGCTTTTCCTTCATTTTATACGTACAAGTGAGTGTGTATTTATTTCAGTTACTGTTCTTTGGGTTCTTAGTTAAAAGTAAATTGTAGTAAGTAAAAAAATTGATTCACTATTAATGGATATTGATGAATAGAAAATATATTTTTAATATAAATCATTATATTATTATTTATTATAAATTGCAGAGGCTATAAAGGTGAGTACTTTTTTCATCAAATATTTCATAATGGTGAATCACAATTCTAAAACATTTTACATATATGAGCCACTTTAGCGTGAAAATGTCTTGTATAGTATAATATGTACATTTTTTGTTTGTGAAGAACAAACATTTTTTTTCTATATACATAAATATAATTTCCAGGTTCATCTAAACAGCGAAGAAAGTGAAGAATCACAAAGGGAAGAAGATGAAGAGTTGTTAGAAAATACAATAACGCTGTGTACATATAACTTTCCCAAAACAGTTAAAAAAAAGATGCTTAATCAGTCTTCGAATATTTTTGAAGAAGAACAAGCTGAGAAATTGAATAATCTTACTTCTAGTCAGCTGGAGGCGATAATTGGTGGTAGTCTATTTGAATAAATTATTTTGAATTACCAAACAAAGTAAAAGAAGATAGATAGATAGATAGATAGATAGATAGATATAAATCATTTAAACAAAATCTTAACAAAAGTGATCAGTTTAAATTACATGTAAGATGGCTGCATTATTCTTCCAGTAATCAAATAGCAGTATGTGTAGTATATTATTATGTGGGCAATAGACTAAATTGAATAATACTTTTGTGTTAAACGAAGAAAATATGAATGTCTAGTCCTTTGCCAAATTTCATTTATTTTTTTATTTTTTTTATTATTATTATTACTATTCTTTTTTTTCTTTTTAATATACATGAGCAAATACGTTGAACACAGGTGCTATTCTAAAATATCTGCTATATTTGTGTATCAGATTTTATATAAAACTTCTCTCTACGCAAAAGTGATAAAATATGATTAATTCAAAGTAAACTATTTTTGTCTATTTTATAAAAGGCTTGCCTGTTCCGATAATACATTCCTACTTCTGAATATTTGGTAAAGAGAAAGTTCATTCTATTGTTTATATAATAATCCATTGAAAAAAAAATATAATAATATTTTATGTTTTATAGACTGAATAGTACTTTATCGTAACCTTATATTATTTTTATTAGCAAATATCATAATCATCATTCTTATTTATCTTATTTATAATATAGTATTATAAATACTTTTTCACTTTGTTTTGTATATATACATGAAACACGACTGAATTCTAAATCTGTATAAATCATTCTTCAAAATTAAAAATACTTTGCTTCGTGTTAGAAGAATAGCGATTAAAGGAATAATTAATTTGTATCTTAATATTTTTTTTCTTTTTTTTATTACATCTTTTTATATTTTTTATTTTATACAAAAATAATTTCTTCGAAACGATCTAATCATGAAAAAGACTGCTTTCTAGAATGGAAAATCGGATATTATATTTTTCTTTTAAGTCTCTCTCACTCTTTTTTTCTCTCTTGAATGGATTATATATAAAAAAAATAGTTTTTATTTTCCAAGTTACATTTCGTGTTATTAATCGATAATATATCGATAAAGCAATTGAAAGGTGCCTTGTCTGATACTATTGAGGATTGATAAACGTGTATCTGCTCATTTATCACTATTTAAGAATGAACAAGAATCTGTATTTGCAATTACATTTAAAATTAGTACATTACACTTTTTCTAAGACATGAATTTACGCATATACACTGCCTTCTATATTCATTTACACATTAGTAATGTAAACTAATTAATACTGATAATTTTTTTATTAAGTAGTGTGTTTGTATACTATTAAACTAAGAGTTCTTCCATTCTTATCTCAAAATCACATTATTTAAAACTGTAACTATAAGAAAAATACAATGTATACAATGGTAGTAAATTTTCAATGTCGTAAATATATATATATATATGTATAATTTCCAATGTTTATTTGTATAAGAAATTAGGGTAAAATAAAATTTATATATATATATATATATAAATATATATATATGTATATAAATATAATACAGAAAAAAAGAAGTGTACACAATTTTATATAACATGTTAATGCAAACTGTAAAAATACGTGCTTAGAAAGTATCCTATTAAAAATTAAAGGCATCGTTTTAAATTTCGTGTTATAATATGCCTAGAAATAAGGCTATGGTGGTATGCTTCTCTTATAGGTGTAAGAAAAAATGTGTCATTAGTTCTAATATATACATAAAATACAGTGACTGCCACGTATATATACATATATATATATATACACCTTCTTGTGTAAAAGATATTGTAATGACACACGCAAGTATGTAAATATATCCATATAATTATTAGTGTAAATTTTTTCTTTAATGTCAATGTCGGACTAACGCCTTCAACTGCGGAATTAAACATTATTAATATGCAATTTATTTATGCATTTTTATCACAATGAAAATCTTGTTTTTAAATAATAATAATTACACGTTTTAATACATTATTTTACAATAACTGTTTATCAGAATATCTGCGATGTTTTTCTTTTTTTCAAATTTTTAGGATAAGTATTTTTTGTGTTACTTTATATAAGCTTGTGTTTATAAAAACTGCTTATAACAAACAGGTATATAATACTTCTTACACTTTAGGTTCTTTTCCATAATTTTGATAAAGTTTAGGACTTTCTTGTATGGAAGAAGTTGTACTTCTTGGACTTGCCGAATTAATGTCAAAGTTTGAATTTGTAGATATAGTTTCTTCTACAGAATTTGTTTTCTTTTTTAATACAGGTGCAATAAAACTTTGTCCTGTCACTCCTCCTGGAAGATCTCTTTTCGGCGGTTGTGTCTAAAAATAAGGTATATATTTTATTAATAATAATGAGAGAACAATTACAAAACATAAGAGTTGAATGTGAATTATACTTTAGGTTTAGATGCAGGTAATGTAACTCCAGTTACAAGACCTAAAATACTAGCAGCAAGACCACTAAGTTGTACAGCTGCCAGAGGAGATAAACCTCTTCTTACTAATCCAAGAGATAAAAATGCTACTTGAGCAAGAATTGGTGCAGCTCCAGCTGCACTAGCAGCTGCACCTGCTAACTGACCACCACCAACATTTGGTCCATAAGCAAAGCACAAATTATGCCTGTCCACCTGTGTGTTTGCCATGTATATATTTATAATTAATAATAGAAAATAATACTTAGTTTCTAAACGATATGATTATTAATCAAATCTTTGTCAAACATACCAAATGTTTAACTAATAAATATAATAATCCAAATGGAGTAATTAAAGGACAGGCAAGGCTATAGACTGTTGTCATAGTAAATACCAATAGTAACCATGCGTAATGTGCCCCTAATGGGAACTCCCATAATACTGCTTTTCTAACATACACTCTTTCTGCTTTACTGCGTGCTACACAAAGACGAAAAGTATATAGGGCAAGTTCTGGAAATCTCACTAATTCCAATGCACTTCCAAGTAAAGCAGCAGTAATCACATAATTTACAAATAAAGCACCCTGAAATAATGATGAAGATATTAAATATTTTTATTTACAGATTTTAATTAGAAATACATTTTATTTACTGAACAATGAGTTTACAGATTATGTGCATTTTATACCTGATCAGGAAGAAATACACAGTCCCATCTTCCTGTCTCATTTTTGGCTTTCATCGTCCAAACAAAAAATGCTTCAGCACTGGTTAATCCTAAACTAGGTAATATAAGAACCATAAGTAATAAAAGTAATAAGGTTTTTTTCATGACCGTTCGATTAAGACTGCTTCTTGTCCAGTGTCTTACTAAAGATTCACTTTTTTCAACTAAGACGGGCATTAAAGCAGCAACGCTTACTAGCAATAAAGTTGGTAAAAATGAAGATATTAGTGGATTCAAATTTTTTGTTATTTCTCCTGGTATTGTTAATCTATTCAAAATTGGTATAATAACCTAAATATGCAAAAGAGAATACAATATAAATTAATTTTATATTTCATATTATATAAATATATAATGAAATTTCATCGTAATAATATGTATAATTAACTTACAGCTGGTGTTGTAAGGAAAAATAATGTTATACCCAAAGCAAAATTAATCAATATTGCGTTGAAATACCAAAATCTCTTAGGTATACTTAAATTTTCCCAAAAAATGTCTGAGGGGGCTGGAGCATAATTAACCACCCACTTTATCGAAGGTAAAGATCTTAATTGTCTTCTCATGGTTCTAGCTGCACCAGGAGTTCCTACACCATAATATATAATAATGGTAATATAAAATATTCTTTTTAAAATATTTGAAGAATTCAACAACTAAGTATAAAGATACAAACCTAACGTAACAAAGGCTATACCAAGTGGTTTACTCAGGGCCAATTTTTTTTCTTCTTCCACTAATGCAGTTAATCGAATTTCTTCATTCGTATAAAATTCTTGTGCATCCACCTTCTTCAGGATTATTAAATATTAAAAATTATTTTTGTTCAGAAATAATAAATGCGTATAACTACAATATTAATGATATACTTACAGATTTGCAACAACATCCTAAAACTTGACCACAACGATAGGGATATATTTTTAAAGGGTCTCGTTTTTTTGCATAATTCTCGCAATACAAACGTGCTTGTTCTGCACAATCTCTTTCTGCATCTAACGCAGAAAGACGTCTGATATCGTAAGCTAATGTTACATCTTCTATGCTCAATGTTGAAAATGCTTCTCTAAATTAATAAAATAATAATTTATAACATATTTAGCAATTTCAAATAATTATTGGTGTCATCAAAATAATACATACTTAAAATATTCGGTAAGTGTTTCTACATCGCATTGGTGTTTTGGTATTTCTGTAATAATTAATGTTCTAGCTGCTAATTCTCCACTAGATCTGGTTTCTCGTACCTAGAAATAATTTGAAAAATTATAGAAAAAATAACATTATCAAACCAAATTATTTTTGTTTAAAACATTCCTTACTTGTTTTAAAAAACGCCTCATCACATATGCACCAATCGGTAAGTAAGATATAATTAAGATCGAATGTACCCATATCCAAGAAGATATTGGATCTAGATTACCTATTGTTGTACGACTAAATGTTAAATCGTTATCATGTTTGTTACCATGAATATTAATAGGTAACGCTATACATAGTGATACAATAACCATTCCAATAGTTAAAACAATCAAATAACGTTCAAATAATATATACAGCAGGCCATCTGGACCAGCTCTTTTTAATAATTCTTCATCTCTACAAAAATTATTTTATATTAAATAAAATAATAATGAATTACAGAGAAATTTATATATACTACCAGCCAAAAGTTTGAAACAACTTGCTGATAATAGAACATTTTAATAGTAGAATATACGAATAATAAAAGAACGTTTAAATACTAAATCGTCGGATACTGATAGTTCTATTGTACTTTTTAATTTTTCTTGATAAAAAAAACTACACCTTGGTTTCTCTAAAGACATTCATTTCGTTTATATTCTTATAAATATCGAGTTTCTTTAAATTTTCATAGCAATTCCAAACTGCTGGCCGGTACAGTGTATAAATTGTACCAACTTTATTTTAAATGCCGTAACAATCCATGATAGAAACCCTCTGTCCACTTGAGATAACTGTGAATTAACAGATGTATCTAAGAATATTGCGTCTGAATCTCTGGTATCGTTGTCGCCATAAAATAATTCCATCCATTTATTATCTGATTTATGCAGCAACGCAAGACGTCCATAA